TCTCAGAATCACATGCTCAGCGTACAGACGGCCAAGAGCGGCTGACCCCTCGCCGGATGAGACCTCAGAGCCGACTGTCCAATGCTTTGTGCCAGCCCTGCTTTCCCAAACACTCCTACTGAGTCCAGCAGCCGTCTGTCAAAAGATCTGTCTCAGAATCACATGCTCAGCGTACAGACGGCCAAGAGCGGCGCGGTGTCCCGCTGCTGACCCCTCGCCGGACGAGACCTCAGAGCCGACTGTCCAACGCTTGTGCCAGCCCTGCTTTCCCAAACACTCCTACTGAGTCCAGCAGCCGTCTGTCAAAAGATCTGTGACTTCTGTGCTGTTTCTGCTGACGCTTGAGCAAATAACATCAGTTTGATGCAGGCCACAGCCTGTGTGCAGCATGTTGCTTCAGTATTACTTCAGTATTGATGCTATTTTGATTGAATTTTTAACATTTATTTTCCATTTTCTTTTTAATTTTAGTTTTTCATTTCTTTAATTTTTTCTTTTGATTTAGTAATTTACTTTTAGTAATTTTTGGGGTGTCATTTTTATTAGCTTTCTATGTATATTTTTTATTTATTTTATTTCAGTTTTATTTTTTAGTACAAGGTAAACTAAATGAAACTAAGCAATGTTTACTTGGCAATTAGCAGAAATAAAATAAGTTTCTTTTTTTTCCGCTAAAATATAAAATGTTTATTTTTTATGGTTTTAGTTTTTGTTAATGATTAAAAACACAGTTTTATTTATTCTGTAGACCGACGTTTCACTTTAAAGTCAGGCCAGAAAAGCAGCTCATTAATCACAGTTAATCACAGTTCAATTTAATTTTGCATGCTAATTAAGGGCTTGTTTATCTGAAATTCTTCAAATCATGGCAGAACAGTTTTTGTGGATTCTTGCGCTGAAAACTTGAAGTCAAAGTTCTGCTTGTCAGTATTTGTTTGTTTGTTTGTTTCTAAGCACCTAAAACACATGATCTAGTAGAAAAAATAATAACCTAGATATGAACACTAGAACAAGTGAATGCAAATCATGCTTTTTTACTAGGCCTATATGAGCTCAAAAGAAACATTTAGGCATTTTAGCCAACACATAGGCACCGCCATACCTATATAAAGTTATTAAATATCAATACGCTAAATATACAAAAAGTGCAATCTTCCTTACATACAGTATATACACAATGTTTCCCAAATTTGACATCATCAGCAGAATTATCTACAGTATAATATCACGCATACTAGCAATTAAAATATAATGAACTTTATTACTCACTGTACAAATTATTAATGGTGCCATGTCAACCAACCCTGTTTTTATTTTGATTTAATTTTTTTGTAATTGTATAATGTTTTGATGCAGTGAACACAACAAAAAAGCGTCAGAATCTCGTCCTCAGAATCTCTAGGTATCTTTTTTTCTTTTTAATTATACATTTTGTTTTCTGGTGGACTGCTAGGAACCTGTGCATTTTATATTTGCATGAATGCAGACAGTCGTGCTGATTTTAAGACGGCTCTTGTGTGTGCGAGAGACTGTAGGTGTTTCTGTCTGGCGTTTGCCGTTTTCACACTCATTCAGACGGCTCAGGGAAAGTATGTGTGGATTCTGTATTTATCTCTGCGTTATTGACTTTGAGCTGCTTCTATCATGAGCAGGAATCCTCCGAGAGTGACGTGTGGTTTCACTCATATGCTTGAGGAGCAGACGAGCTTTTTGTTGCTCGCTGTTGTTTGCAGATTTTTGTCAGCGGACACTTTCCACGATGGTGCATCATTGTGATTTATCATCTCCAAAGAATTTAGCGCATCAGTTCCTGAAAATGTAGTTGAAGTTCTTGTGAAGTCATTAAAAGAGTCATTTAACGGTATTTTGGTTTCTTAAGATGTGAGCGAACCGAACGGGTCTTGAGACGTGTTTTCAGTGGTGTGGTTTTCTGACATGCCGTCTTAAGGAATAGTTCACCCAAAATTTAAATGTTCACTGTTAACTCATCTTGAAGTCATTCCAGACCCATAAGGTCTTGTTTTTTCTGTGCAACACATCAGGAGAGATTTTGAAGAATCTTCATGCAGCTTTTCCATACCATGCTACATCTAATGGTTTTGGAACAACTTGAAGAAAATGATGGGTGAACTTCTCCTTAAGACGGCATGTCAGAAATCCACACCACTGAAAACACGTCTCAAGACCCGTTCGGTTCACTCACATCTTTAGAAAACCAAAATGCCTTAACCATAAATCCGTTAAGTGACTCCATCGAATTTTGGGTTAACTAAATATTTAAAAATGCATCTATCACGACACCAAATGACACCATCTGATGAAAATCTTCGCTGGGCAATTGCTAAAAATTATATCTCTATATTTTTCCTAATTTAGGAAAAATATAGAGATATATATGAAGAGTTCATTTGCAAAAACAGATAACTCCGTTGTTAACAATTTTCAAAAAATCATGTTTTTTCATTGTGCATTCCAATCAATTTCAATCAAACTGCAGTTGGGTTATTTTGATTAGGTTAAAAAATAACTAAAAAATACAGCTAACTAACACAATAAAAACATGATAATGTTTTATGAGTTATGTGTTTTTGGAAATAAACTCTTCATATAATTCCTAATAAATAAACAGTAAGTAATTTAAGTGAAATAAATAATATTTAGTATTTTATATTTTTATATTGTTATTATAATTTTATATTATATCTATTATTTTACATTACAGCTGTAAAATTACAATAGAGATATTTCTGGCTGTCATTGAATTTATTTTTATGGAAAACTGCAGCATCTTATTAAAGGGGTCATATGATGCTGCTAAAAAGAACATTATTTTATGTATTTGGTGTAATGAAATGTGTTTATGCGGTTTAAAGTAAAAAAAGGGAAGATAGGTTGTGCATGTTGTGTTCCCAAACTTTTAACATTATCACAATATGCTGGATCTTCCCTGATTTTAGATTGTCAGCTGAATTATCCTGATGATAGTGCTACTATTCGAGTGGCAGTATGGTCCTCTCTTCTGTTGATCTGACTGAGAGAAACAGGACGGAAAATCTCCTTCCCAAACGCCGCTGTGCTGCATGAGACACTGACACAGGCCCCTCTCTCTGTCTCTCTCTCTCTCTCTCTCTCTCTCTCAATCTCTGTTCTCTCTCTCTCTCTCTGTCTCTCTCTCTCTGGTTGGATGTGAAGGCTTTGGCTCGCTGCTGCAGGAATATTTAAGGACTGTTGCTCTGTTGGCTGCTGCTGCTCAGATGAGTGGAAGTTCAGAAGCCAGAGCTGCTCACATCATTAACCCTCTCCTCTCCACTGATGTAATGTTTTTAAAAGCTCAGATTTGGTTGCATTTATTTTTTTATTTTATATAGTTTTTATCGAACCGTGTTAATCAAAGTTTCTTCATATTCTTCATATTTTATTAACTCATAACCATACAGGTACATCTAAAACTCATCAAGTTTATTTTAGAAGTTTTAGAAGCAGTGTAAGTCAGATTTGTATTACTTGCTATCGATTCTGACACGGATGAGGAAAATTAAGGAGTTGTTAGTGTGCTGTTACTGTAGATGACTTCATTGATTATAATGTGAGCAGTTAGGATTGATGCAAAGCATGCCGTCTAGCCAGTATAATGTTCGTGACAGTTTAATGTGACTTGATGTCGAACAAATGCCATGCATATGTTTTTGCGTTTAACCCATTTGTTGCCGTTTTGATGCCACATGTCCATCATTTTGTGCTGTTTTCATGCATCTTATTCTAAAGCAATACTGCATCACCTCAGTGGTGACTGTCTGATGTTTTTGCATGTTTTCATATTGCATCGTACTCCAGTTTTTGCAGCACTGTCCCGTTTGATTTAGTTCAATGTGGTGTGGGTCTTTAAGTGCGCCGGGCCTGACGGGCCGCAGTGACTGACTGCACAAAGAGCACTTCACAGAGCCTGTGAAACGTGCAGCTGCTTTCACGTAGTTTTTATCCGTGACTGTAACTGGCTTTCTTTCAGTCTCTTCCACATCAAGGCCTCGCTTGCATCAGCCTGAGTGAGCTTCAGAGTCACACTGCACTTTGAAACCGCACACACGCACACTCAGAATGAGTGGGAACAGCTCTGGCTTTAATAAAAGCTGATATTTAAAGCAACGGAGGATGAGAACGCAAAGAGGTTCGCTCGAAGTGAGCTCCTCTCTGGATGAATGTCATGAACACAGGTCCAGGTCGTATTACGCCGAAATATTACTTACAACCATATCATTTCATTTTAACAAACCCATAACCCTACATGTGAAATTCTTTTATTTTTGTATAATTTATTTAATTTTGTTTTATTTTCTGAATGCATATAATAGATGGTAATGTAAACAATTCATACGTGCATGTTTCTTTACATTTTTGACTTTAATCAAAATGTCGTTATATATATATTTTTTTTTATATGAACAAACGTATAATCCTAAGAATGCAGCTTTTATTAAATTTTTATTTTGTTTATGATCAAACCCATAACCCAATCTTTGAACCTTATCCAGTTAATTTTAAAAATGTAATACAAATTGTTTTAGTTGTTGTTGAACAAACCCAAAACCCGACGTATGTAACAATGCACAAAATCTTAAACATGCACCAAAAAATAAATAAAAATACAACTTTTTGATTTTATTTAAGCAAAAATGCAAAAAAAAAAATTAGGCTGAAATATCAGGAAAACACTTCTGGGACATATTAAACCTCACAATCAAAAGAAAAAATGCAAATAAATTGTATATTGCATTGAAAGAGATTAGAGGGTACATTTTCATCAAAATGTTACAATGCAAAAAATCTCAAACATGCAAAAAATAAATAAGCTTTGTTTGTTTTTAAAAAAAATCAAAAATACTGTTTTATTTTGATCTGGAATTTGATTGGCACATGTTCTTGAGTGGTTTGGTGAGATTCTCTCTCTCTCCATTGATATTTCTCTCTCTGGTGTGTTAATGGAGTCTGTTTGTGTGCCACAGTCTTTCCTGCTAGCGTTTGTTGGGCCGGTTTCCCTTCAGATAATGACATGTCTCCCAGAAGACCTTGGACGGTCTGGAACGCCGTGCAGTGCATATGGCCTCAACGGGACGGCGCTGCATTCCTTACACACGTGCACACCAACACCAGCTCACAGCCGCGCACTCACGCATGTTTGAGCTGCATGCCACTGACGTTCTGTGCACATTTAATATTATAGAGAATTCTGTATTAATGCATTAACAGCCTACAGTCAATGAACTTTCTTATTTACTGGAAGAATTATTAATGGTGCTTGCCATTAATTGGTCAAACTAACTCATGGTCTTACTCCGGATTAGTGGTTTAAATAAATCCATAACCCTACGAAACTCATCAAGTGTATGTATTTTTTTTTATTTTATTTAATTTTTTTGTTGTTAATGTTTGAACCTTATCCAGTTTATTTTTATTTCATTTTAATTATTAAATTTTTTAAGATCTAATTATTTATTTATTTTAATTGTATGATTCTATGCAAACAAAACCATAAGCCTATGTTGGAAATGAAATGAAATTGCAATTAAATAAAATAAAATTTTATTAAAATTAAAATTAAATTAAATTAAATTAAATTAAATTAAATTAAATTAAATTGTTGCATTGCATTGCATTGTGTTGTGCTGCACTGCATTGCATTGCGTTTTATTGGATTGCATTGCATGGCAACAAACCCATAACCCAACACTGAAACTTATCCAGTACTGTATGTGCTACAGACATGTAAGATTCCTCAAATGATTCTACTCTAAACACCCTAGCAACCACTTGCCCAATCTTTTTATGTTTCTACCATTTTCTTGAAGCATTAAACCAATGGGGGCCATGCTTAACTGATTTTTACCAAAGTTTAAGGACTTTTAGACACCATGTCACTTTAAATTAAACATGAAATGGAAAGTTAACCCTATTCATTTTATAAATGCATATTATAGATCTAATTATGAACTCTTCATATGTGCATGTGATTTATTCTTACGAACTGTTTGACATTGGCATGTTTAATCAAAATGAAACGAGCAGACTTCTCTCAGGTGACGTATGCAAAACGTACACAGGATCTCTTGCATTCATCCATAAAATTACAGTAGCAGCCTCTTGAGGCTTTATTGCTTTTTGAAACTCTTGTTGTGAGAAAAGCGTTGAGGTTTTACTGTGATGATGCTGAGGCTCTTGTGAGGCCTGTGCAGGTGTGAGAAACCCCTCAGCTTTGCTTTTGGCTTTTTTTCCTGGTTTTTATGTTGTCTTCTTTTTTTACTGGAATCTTCTTGTTGCCTGCAGCCCTAATAAAATCCGGTTTCCCGTCCTGATCCTCTCTGGTGTCAGAGGCGGGAGCGGCTCGGCGGATCACGCTAACGATGAAAAACTCCTCTTTTGATGTCAACATTCCACGCTTTTATTATATTAATGCAGGGGATCAATTAGTGTTGAGTAGCACTGGATTTCGCATTCCTTCCATTCAACGCACGTTCGCAGACCGACGTGTGTGGACATGTTCGGGATGCTGCTTCAAAGAGCTCGGCAGTGTTTGGCCACATCCGTGTGTGTGTGTGTGTGTGTTCAACAGTGGCGAAACTGTTCGTAACACTGTGAGTTAGAGCTTTGACACAATTTCTTGATTTTCTTCTGATTTACTGAACAGGTTGTTTTCATATTTGTAGTCATTTAGCAGATACCTATATCCAGAGCAACATATAATATACCTCCCTCAAAATCACTTTTTTTGTTTTATTTACAATTTTTTTTTTTTTTTTTTTTTTTTTTGTTTTTTTTTTTTTTTTTTTTTTT